TGAGTGTTCAACAAGTGAGAAATGTGAAAAAAGAAACTACTAGCACCGAACCTATATGTCGAATTCAACTATAAAATAATGAAACTTAACTGCCAATATGGTACTGCACTTAAATTCAAAAAGACGATGTACCAAGAAAAGAAATCTTATTAGAAAGTTTTCAATGGAATTATCTATAAAATATCAGAAGGAAGCTAAGTTGCAGCTATAAGAAAGTGACTGAAGCTGAGATGCCCGGTCCTGACTGATAACATTGTATATTCTGTATGTTATCAAGAAACTATAAATTTGTACGTTATCAAGAATCTATAAATTTGTATGTTATCAAGAATCTATAAATACGTATATGAATTTCCAGACTATATGTGACAGCAAAATTCAATGGAATTTTAAAATTATAAATATGTAAGGGAGATTCAGTTGAGACAAGTTTTCTAGCACGATAAAATGAAACAATAATCCTAGCAGTAGTGCTAGTAATTGATTCAATATAATCTTTCAATATAATCTTTCTACATCAACGGACCCGTTAGCCCGAGAAGGTGCAATGAGGTTAGAATTATATATGTGCATTTAGGTGGACATTTTAGTAATCCACTGTAAGTATACCAAACTCTCTGTTTAAAGTAGAAGCATATGTTCTACTGATTCATCATTGATCTATGTTACAATTATTGGTACAAACCAGTTGTTCTAATAGAGATTTTTAAGATAAATTAGCCATAAAATTAAAGAAACAAAATTTGCCACGATTTACGTCGCAAGCCTCTCACTACCATATTGTAATTGCCCTGGTAAGTGTTCTGATGTGCTATAGACAGAAGCCCTGCCATTTGCAGTTAGGACCTACCATTCCAAGTACACAGAATTTATTCCTTATCTGAGAAGAATTATCTGTTATTTTGAAAAGTCGATCAACAAAATTAATCGATACAAAATTTATGTTGTCTTTACTAACATTTGCCTTAGAGATTCTCTCTCTCTCTCTCTCTCTCTCTCTCTATATATATATATATATATATATATATATATATGTGTGTGTGTGTGTGTGTGTGCGTGTATAAAACACTGTTTTTATTTTATTTGCTATACAAATTTCTTCATTCCTCAAGAGAGAGGAATAAATAAGAATTAAGCCATTTTTCACAGTTTGTTTTTTATGTCGCTTATTTTCGATAACTATACATGTTTTGCTTTTCCGTCCTGTTATTTGGTGTTAATATGTTTGTTTTTTTTTTATTGCAATTATTAAAGTTTTAAACACCAGAAGTTCAAAATTACCACATTTGACTTGGTCTCCCAGTATCGTAGGAGAAATGTGCAATAAAATATTGCCTTTTACGGCTTGTGTCTTTGCTTTGCGTTTGTGTGTACAAGTCGATTTTTAATGATGATATATCTAGTGGCAGAAAAGATTTTCGGATATAGATAAATGAAACTAAACGCATTACACAGAGGTTAGTTTTCGGCTTTCCTTTTGAACATTGAATTTACATCTATTTCCGCGTCCGCCGAATTCTTTTATTCATATTCGACATGCGAAATAAAAATGAATGAATAAAACCCTTGACAAGGCAATTTTATTAGATTCCGTTTTAAATGGTTTTACAATTTCGAGCTCTCAATGTGCTTTGGAATCCAGAGAAAAAACGTATTTGTCAATAGCTAGGAATTAAGGCAATTTTTACGAACAGAATAAAACTGTCATATGTACAATGTAAAGAAATTTCTAATAATTTTACAAGCGAATGCGTGTCACACGAAATTTTGCTATAGAAATATATCATAAATGGTTATATAGTAGATATTCATTGGAAAATATGAAAAATGTGTTGCTAATGGTCAGGAATTCAAGCAATCATTATTGAAAGCAAAAAGATATTATTGGAATATTTATGCAAGCTTCAAAATAATATGTTAACTACAAAATATACACTAGGTGAACTCCAAATGTTTGCTAATAAAAACGGTGATTATTACTACTAGGTGAAAAAGAGTGGAGAATACTAATTTCTTGTCAGAATTCTATATCAAATTTTAAGTTAAATGCTTTTCAGTTATAGTTGCGATAGTGTTGATGGGTAGAATAGTAGCTTTTGATTTGTAGGCTTTGTCAAAATTGTCCACTCTTCTACTTAAGATTTTTTTATGGGTCTTTTGTCTCGCATTGAATATAAAATAATTAGTGTATTGGAATAGCTTACAAGTATTTTCAAGGTATTTCTCGCCATATAGATATTGAGGGTTACACATTCTAAGTGTTCATGTTTTCCTATAACTATTTATAAACAGAAAAACACTGAATTTATACAAAACAAAATAATAATAATCTAAAACCTGAATCAGGAATTTACACTGTAATGATTGCCACAGAAAATAAATAGGAGAAACCTCTAGAAATTTAAAGGAAATACGATAAAGCACAAAAGGAATATTTCACAAGACAGCACATTCAATGCATTATTTGCTCACCTTAATGAGTCTGATCATATTTCCGTTTTAAAAATACTACTAATTAAGAGAGTTAAGCATTTACTAACACGATACTCTATACAAAGTGATTTAATATCTAGATCATCCACGGCAAATTTGCGGCTAGGTTCATACACAAGTTCACCTTTCTTTGCAGATCTTTTTATTATCACAATGGAATACTAAAAGATGTGTTAGAAATATAAACAAAAAATAAAATGAAAATGAATGAAATTGGTTTGACTACATACACAAAACTATATCTAAAAATAGAAAATAAATTTAAACGATTACAATTATCAGCGTCTCCTTTGAATCGTGCGCATGTCAGCGTAAACGTCACTTTGAACTGATGAAGTCATAAAAGGTGTAATACGTCACGCTAAAAATGTTTCCACTTCATTATTTCCGATTCATTATTGATTTTACTAGTATTTTTACAGTAATTTCCCCCTTGTAAAAGTACCCTGGAGCCAAACAAGGTAAAAGGGTTAGGTTTATGGGTTTAGTTAATACAGATAGAAAGAAAGATAACCGTTAACTCTCGACTTGAGCAGATAAAGATTGTAAGGATCTGGGAAACATCCACTTGGGAGTCTGTTCCACAGACCAGTGGTTTGTGGGAAGAAGCTGTTCAAGTGGAACTTACTTCTTACCGATCGAATACGTAATGTGTGTAGATTGCTACAATATGTGGCATGGCGGTTTCTCGTCATGAAGTGTAGACATGGCGGAAACAAGGAATATAGTTCGTCAGAGCAATATATATAAAATTAGCGAGAAAGCAGTTAAGAGTTTCGCATATACATACATATACATACATACATTATATATATATATATATATATATATATATATATATATATATATATATATGCACATTTCATTGAATACGACAGACGAGGTGCTTTTATTTAGGTTTTTATACAATATCTCATGCGATCTAATATTTTTTTACTTCTGTGCTTTTAAGCATTTGGAGGAATTCATGGGTAGATTTAATGCTATAGTTAGTAGGGAGATGTGGGGTAATAATATCATTGAGAAATTTTGATAGTTGGTATATGCATGTTGGAATCTGAGAAATAATAGGTCGTAATGAGTATCCCGGTTTGCGTATTTTCACATTACCGTATATGTAGCCAGGTTGTTAATCTTGAATAATTTTTTTTTATTTTTAAAGATCCTGCAAAAGCATTGTTGGATGTTATAAGTTCATTAACATATTTTTTAGAGATTCAGTGGTGTTCTTATTCAGTTTAGTAAATTTAGAACAATCATCAGTGAGATTCTGAAGATTTTTGTGATAATCCAATTTATCCAAAATTACATAAACACTGGATATATCAGATTTTGTGATAACTATATTAGGGTTGTTTTTTTTTTTAATTCTTTAGCTGCAATTCTGAGTTTTGTCGGAATGTTCTTGTGTCTGTTATGTGGAATATAATCTTTTAGACCATCTACATTGTGAAGATGTTTGAGGTTTGGATGGAGTATTTCCTATTTAACAGTTAAAATATTTAATCTTTGAAAATGGCTAAATGTATAGCCGAAGGCTCTCGGATAAAAAGAACATACGGACAGTTTTTATATAATTTATCATCCGAGAAGGAAAGAAAAATTATTAGATCGCATGAGAAATTGTCTAAAAAACTAAATAAAAGCAACTTGTCCGCCGTATTCAATGAAATGTGCATGAAAGAAGAACACACACACACACACACACACACACACACACACACACACACACACACACATATATATATATATATATATATATATATATATATATATATATATAATTAGATTGGTATGAGTTGTGAACCTGGGCTTCACGCTCTCTGCGATCATCAGACAAACTAATTAGTTTTTGAAAAATTGGGTTTATTTATGGTTGCGTATATCGGTGTTTTATGGTAGTTGGAGGAAAAGTTGTCGTCGCAACGCCACTGATACTTACGCAGACATACATACACGCACGTTCACGCATTGCAGCTCACGCTTTGCAGCTCACGCAAACATAACCATATATGAACTCTGTCTGACTGGGCGTATATGTGTCGTTGCGTGTATACGTACACAAATGGTCGCTGTAATCTCTAAATGCAGACATGAAAACAAATACCTATTATCACAATTTATACCAAACGGATAAAAAAATACCAACACTGCTACATAAACCACCATTGACCAAATTAACACGAAAAGAGAAACCATTGTCAGCATAACACTATAAATTATTTTCTAATTCAAACTAACTTCATAATAATTATAATCATTTTTATTACCATTCCACAACCATTACTACAATCACGACTACAATCTTACTATAACACTTTACCGCTATAATTGTTATTATCATCACCCGCTCCCCCAACCATTACGACTGCAGCAATACCACCCCCACGAAATATTGGCAATAAGACAATTTACTTATCCCCAGCTTAATTATATTAATAGTTCTGTCCCCACTCCATGAAGTATTCCCACAGTATTATTAGTATAATTTTATAATTGATTATGGCTTACGGCCACATTACGTTGAAAAATCCGGTTCCCGTACGATCACCAAAGTTAAGCAATATCGATCCTGTTCAGTACCTCTATGTGCAACCGCTTGTGAATAAAAGGTTTTGTAAGCCTGGATTTGTGGGCGGGATAATGTAAAAATGGCTTCTGATATACTCTGAGTAATTATGGAATAAGCAATCGCGATTTAGCAGATGTGTTTGATTAACTGATCTCAACAGACTGAAGATGTTATCTAAAACATTTTTCGTTCGAGAAGAAAAAATAAACAGCAAAAGCTTTATCGAGAGGACACAAAAAAATAAAAAGTGTTATGGAGTTTCAAATTGAAAAAAAATCATGCACAGCATTTAAACCGTTGATTATTTAAAAAATAGAATAAAAATGTATAAATATCGAAAATGTTTATCTTCTTACATTAAAATAAACATTGTAGCTTGTCATTTTTTGTCTGGCTTAGTTTGGATCCAGTGAGCAACATTTTTTGCGGATCTCAAAAAGTTCAAATTGACGGCTATTTGAAAGTTACCGCTGAAAAATTACTGAAATGTTCCAAACGTAGATATATCTCGAAATGTTTCAATTAAACTATATATATTGACTGACGTTAGTTTAGAATTGGATTTTAGTGAAGTCCAGAATTCTGTAGGCCCCAAAGATAAACGCACTTTCCAAGGGAACAGCTTCATGAGTTAAGTTTGATGATCACTACTCCACAGTCGACTGAGGGTTTTTCAATGAATTATGGCTTCACTAATTTCGTTTTCAATTTATTATTCAGATTTTCTATTTTTTTATAAAACATAACGTTTCTCGAATCATAGAAAAACTATGTATAGTTAACTTCTCATTTCTTACCGATAGATTTCCATTGACTTTTTGTGAAGAGATTTTATTGAATCAAATTCTAGGTTTGATAATCAAAAGTTGGTTCACTGTAACTCTAGACAATTCTTCTCGCCAGAATCTTGTCTGACAACTTTATAAGTCTACCATTATTCCATGCACTGAATATGGCTGCCACAACCAGTCTTGTACTTTTGCTCTGTATCTATAGATTCTTGACCAAATTCAAAGAATCTGTAATGTTATTGGACCTTATCTGGCATCTGAACTTTATTCAAACTCGCTTCCCAATGACGTAGCTTCCATTTAATCTTTCTATAAATATTTTAATAGCAATTTTTTTGATGAGCTTTCCCCATTTTTACGTACGATTTATGAATTTGAGCGCAACATGGAAACGTCTCATCATTTTACTGATGAAATGGCGAGGTGTAACTAAGTTCTATGCTAACATTTTATTCTGTTGCATTTTTCGCTTATGGAACTCTCTTCCGGCTTGTTGCTTTCCAGTCAACTTAGACCTACAAAAATGTAAATGTAATGTCAATCGCTATCTATTGCCCTAGTGGTTACTTTTCTTTTGTTCTCGCCCCCTAATAATATTTCTATTTTTTATTTTTATTTTTTAACATTTTCATTTCTTATCAAGTTTTTAAAGGATAAACGTCATTAGCTTTATCAAGTGACAGTGACATATATGAAAGAAATAAAAGTGCTGCATTGGAAAAAAGTTACACCTAAATACAGCACATATTTGGACAACAGTTTATTCTCTGGCATTTCTCGCTTATAGAAATCTCATCCGGCTTCTTGCTTTCCCGTCATCTTTGACCTTCAAAAAATTAAACGAAATCTCAATCGTCTGCTGTCTTAATTTCTATTATTTTATCGTTCTTTTTCTCCAATGTTGTTTTCTTTTGTATCATAGTGTTTCACTCTCAGTACCCCTACAGTTTCATAGTGGCTTTATTGCCTTACTTTTAGTGAAACGATTAAAAAAAATACCATAATAGTAGAAAAGGCGCCATCAAAAGGTAAGCATATTTTTCAAATTTGAACGTAGTGTTTCTCAAAGATTAAAAAAAAATAACTACGCTTGGCTGTGAGAAATTAATTAGATTGTATACCTCCAGAATCGAAGAGGAATGCGTTTGCTCCTAAAACCACAATACCAAGTAATGATTAATAATGATCGTATTTAATATCCTGAATTCGTCTGGCGTTTTTTCATTAATGAAAATACCCAATAAGCACCCAAGCCAACTCCGAATAAAAAGCTGCATAATATAAACATTGAGGCGTCAGAAAGGTGTATAAACTACACAGCTCTGGCAAGCCAGTCGCAGCGTGTGGCAATAAATAAATTTTATATTATTTCTATTTTCTTTATATATTGTGTCCCGGGTTGAATGATTTCTAATTGGATTAAAGTATTAATTTCATTTATTCTGACGTTCTCAGCAGGTAGGTTGGTTTCTTTTTAGCTCATCCGCCATCTCGTTCCGGTGAATATAAATGGTGAAATTAAACTTTCATTAATTATTTAGAAACGAAACGTAATTTCGATACGCTTTTAATTCTATACACTTTCTCTATCACTTGATTTCATCTCCCTCTCAGTTCTGGCTTCTTTTTTCATTGAACTGTTTCCATTCGATTTTTGATTCTTTTTCTTCATTATTTTTCTTTTTATTTGATTTCTTTTTTTTTCTTTCTTTGAAAGACAAATGCGTTTTTGTTCTCACTCAAATATGTTTATTTTCTTTTTAATATTTCATTTTTTTCTTTCAATCAAATGAATTTGTTTGATTTTTTCAGAATCATGTTCATTTTGTTTTTTTTATATTATTCTTATTTTAAAATGTTTTTCTAAATTTTCTTCTTCTCACTCGGTAACCAATAGAACACACTAATTTACAACACATATATACATATATGCATACATAAAACACATATATACACACACACACGCGCGTACACACACACATATATATATGTATATATAGAGAGAGATTCAGAAAAGGATAGAGGTAGATAGCAAGATAGCTAATTATATATATACATATAAACATATATATACATATATATATATATATATATATATATATATATATATATATACAGAGAGAGACAGAGAGAGAGAGACACAGTGAGAGAGAAACAGAGATATACATGAAGAGAGAAAAGAGATAACAAGTTATTTATATATATATAAATATATATATATATATATAGAGAGAGAGAGAGAGAAAAACAGAGATAGATGGGGAGAGGGAAAGACAAAGGAAGATAGCTAGTTTTATATATATATTTATATATATATATATAGAGAGAGAGAGAGACAGAGAGATAGAGAGAGATGCATGGAGAGAAAAAGAGATAGCAAGATAGCTAGTTTTCTATCTATCTATATATATATAGAGAGAGATACAGAGATAGATGGGAAGAGAAAAAAAAGACAAAGCAAAAGAGCTAGTTTTATATATATATATATATATATATATATATATGCAAGAGTATGGGAATATATATATATATATATATATATATATATATATATATATATATATATATATATATATATATATAAAATGACGGAAACAAAACTAAAACAACTAATTTTACTCAAAATTAAACGTACAGTTAACGTGGAACGATCTGAGTAAGTGATCGCTTATGGAAGTCAAGTAGCGAATGACAAACCAACTTCGAACGCATTTATTTCATTTCTCTTTCCATTTTTCACACCCGTTCATATATATATATATATATATATATATATATATAAACAAAAGAATATAAATATATCGTAAACATAGTGTCAATAAAACAGTGCTCAATGTAATACAAAAGAGCTGTTAAGTATATATTAATAAATATACTTATTATACCTCGCCGCTAGCACAACTCAGAGTTTCATGCACAACGCAATCTTCAGATGCTGAGTAGAGTTATACGTATAGTTACGTAGTTTTAACTTTAATAAAAAATTATATGGTTAGCGCAATGTTGGCACAGTCAAATTTTATAGGGGCATTAGAGTTTTTTTTTGTTTTGTTTTTTTTTAAAATATATTGTATATAAATAACAAGAATAAAATCCTCGTATATACCTTGATAAAGTCCCTGAGTAGATAGGTTTTTTTCTGGTTTTTATTCACAGGCACCCGCGCGCGCACTCACACACACACACACACACACACACACATATATATATATATATGTATAGTTGGATGCTATCTACGATCTTCAAACAAACTGATTAAATTTAGAAATTTTGGATTTATTTATGGTCGCGCATAACGGTATTTTATGGTAATAAACAATGAAACAAACAATCCTCAGGACGCAACTCTATCACTGATATTGAGCGCTTCCCAATTTGCACCGCCCATATATAATATATAAATAATATATAAAAAAAAGTTACACACTCACATATATATATATATATATATATATATATATATATATATATATATATATATATATATATATATATATATAAGTACTAGCATTTTAACATCAAATAAACTGAAAACTACAGACATCAAGTTTATCGACGAGGATCACTTCGCACTATGGATTAACAGTATTTTAATGCATATATTATGTTTCTAGCGATGGATGTCGCCAATAATCGCATTAATACTTCTGATTGATTCTATGTGTGATTATTTCTTTGTATATATATATATATATATATATATATATATATATATTATAATTTTTTCATATAGACAAATCAATTGACTCACGAAAAAGGTGCAACTTCGTTTCGGTACATTTAGTTGCACCTCAAGTGGTGAGAATCAAAATGGTTCTGAACAATTGTGTTTGTAAGCAGGCCGCAATTCCGTTTTTAAAATTTCTTTGAAAAGATTAAAAATAGGTACATTTTAAGAGGGAGATATAAAGAAAAAGAAAAATAAGAGAGACAAAAGGGTGACAGGCTAAAAAACAATAGTGTTTGTTGATATCAGATTGTTGAAGGATTGTCGAGGTGTTAAAATGATCGCTCGAACCGATTTTGTTTTTGATGGGCGAGAGGGTAAACGAAGTTGCATCTTTGTCGTGAGTAAATTGTTTTTGTCAATATGAAAAAATTAAAATGTATAATTATTGCTCTACTCTCGGTAATGATCCCGCTTTGTAATTAATGCTGTGAACTTTAGAATTGATATATTTTTTCGTTCTCATTACATTCGGATATATATATATATATATATATATATATATATATATATATATATATATATATATATA